GCATCATGAATTCAGGGGTGCCCATTCGCGTTGACTTTGAGAACAACGCGCTTTTTAATTTTCAAACGAAAACCTTTGCGGGGATTGACGCCCAGTATAAATTCAACGAAAACCTGAGCCTGGGAGCCACCATGGTGCACCTCAACGAAAGGCCCCTTACGCAAAAGGTAAATCTGGGAGACGAACCCATTTCTAACACCATTATTGGGGTAAACGGTAACTTTAGCAAAGAGGCCCCGTACTTAACGCGCTTTGTGGATAAAATCCCATTTATTGACACCAAAGAACCCTCCAATATTTTGGTGCAGGGTGAAGTGGCGCAGATTATTCCCGGCAGCCCGCGGGGCATCGATATAAACGGTACCGAGACCACTTACCTCGATGATTTTGAGAGCAGCCAAACCACCATTGACATCAGAAACCCGCTGGCTTGGCGACTGGCCAGTACACCGGCCGGGCAGCCCGATTTATTCCCCGAAGCCGATGCCACAAACGTGGCCTATGGTTTTAACCGCGCCAAACTTGCCTGGTACACCATTGATCCGCTGTTTCACAACGATGATTCACGCACCCCTGACAATATTTCAAACAATAAACAATTACAGAGCTATAACGCTACCCGCAAAGTATTGGTGGAGGAGGTTTTTCCCAATCTTCAACTGGATCCATCTCAGCCGAGAAACATCCCCACCTTAGACCTTGCTTTTTATCCCAACGAGAGAGGCCCATACAATTACGATGTAGAACCTACCGCAGTTTCGGCCGGTATGACCGATGGTGGCCGTTTGCGTGATCCACAATCGCGCTGGGGCGGAATAATGCGCGATATCACCAGTACCAACTTTGAGCAGCAAAACATTGAATTTATCCAGTTTTGGGTGTTGAGTCCTTTCACCCCCAATGGCGATGACCCAACGCCCACGCGAGGGGGCGATATTTATATCAACCTGGGCAGCGTTTCGGAAGATATATTGCGCGATGGCCAGCAAGCCATTGAAAACAGCGTTCCGGTAAATGGCGATCTTTCAAAACTTGACTCTACCATTTGGGGCTATGCCAGTGATGTGCGCCCGCCAGTAATTGCCTTCGACAACGACCCGGCCGCCCGCACCCAACAAGATATTGGCTATGATTTGCTTACCGATGCGCAAGAAGCCGCCTGGAGCTATGATACCACCTATGGCAACTATCTGCAGCGCATTGCCAACAATTTGGGCGCGGCTAGCCAGGCCTATAAATTAGCGGAAAATGACCCGGCCGCAGATAATTTTCAATACTATCGCGGTTCTGATTTGGATCAGGCCAGTGCCGATGTGTTGGAGCGCTACAAAAACTTTAACAACCCCCAAGGCAATAGCGACCCCACAACGGTAGATGGGGTAACTGCCTTTGCTACCAATGTTCCCGATATAGAAGACATTAACCGCGATCAAACGCTGAGTAAAACCGAAACCTATTTCCAGTATCGCATTAGCATGCGTCCGCAGGATTTGAACGAGGTTGGGCAAAATTATATTACCGATATTAGAGATGTCCCCGTGAGCGATCAAGCGGAGCAGCCCGATGGACTGAAAAGAAATGCGCGTTGGATTCAATTTAAAATCCCGGTTTTCAACCCCGATAAAAAGGTTGGGCCAATAGGCGATTTCCGTTCCATCCGTTTTATCCGCATGTTCATGAAAGACTTCCCCGAGCCGGTGGTGGTGCGCTTTGCGCGGATGGAGTTTGTGCGGGGCGAATGGCGCAGGTACCGTTTCAGCCTGGATGGCACCCGCGACCGCCTGAGCCAGGACGACCAGGAGAACACCACCTTTGAGGTGAATGCCGTTAATATCGAGCAGAACGGATCGCGGGAGCCCGTTCCTTACAACCTTCCTCCTGGTATTGATCGGCAGGTATTATTCGGCACTACTACCGCCAACCAG